GAGGTATAAGGATAACTATATTCTTAGAAATGACTTGTGAAACATTCGAGGATGAATATTCTTAAGTGGGGGAGAATATAACACCCCAAAAAATTTCGAAGTACTTAAGCGCTATTAAGAATGTCGATGTGCGCTAATTATATTATCTTGTGTGAAGACGAGGACTATTAATAGGATGGATATCAATTTGATATGATAATAAGTGTACGAGTCATATTATAAGTGATGTGGGGTCTAGGGAGAGCCCTAAGTCCAAGTTAGGTTGAAAATTTCATGATAAACTAAAGTTTCAAATGAGTACGCATAAGACTACATTTTGGACGGGCATATCTACATATATATAAGGTGTTATATGATGTATTACCTATAAAATTAAAGGTCTTCGAGTCTAGTATATAAATCTTCAAACCGTTTGTCATTTGAAAATTCATACAAGAAGTTATGACTAAATTACCACAGGTTAGCGAAGGAGTCTGCGGATGCGAAGCATCCGAGGCCGCATCCGAAAAAGAAGCTGACAGTGAAGTACTGCCATAGCATCCAAGTCCACATCTGATCTTAAAAGAGGAGTGAAGTGGGGATGCAAAGCATCCAAGGCCGCATCTGAAACCCAGAATTCTGGGCCTATAAATACAAAATCGGGGGAAGAGGGTATTTTGTATATTTGGGGGTTAGGGTTCTTGAGGTGAAGCGGCGATTTTGAGCTCAAAGCAAGTCCAATCAACCAATGTAAGTTGTTAATGATGTTTTAGGTTGATTATTACTCAATATACATGAGTTCTAACATCATTCTTACATCCAAATACTAGATTTTATCATCAAATCCTCAAGAACACAAAAATCACCAAAGTTGTGATTTTTCACGATCGATCTACTAAAGGTAATTCCAATGCTTCAAAATTGTTTATTATGAGTAGTTGGAAGTATTTGAAGCATTTGTTACAATTTTTAATGGTTTAAAGATTGGATTATAAAACTCTAGTTCATGGCATGAATATTACTTTTGAGAAAATAAGAGAGAAGATGTGATTGTGGTTGATGTCTCTAACGGGATAGCCTAGTCGATTGGGTCGTGATCGGACTCCATGCTAAGAGTACGGTGGTATTTGTATTCTGAATAATGGTATTTTGAGCAATGGAATATCAATACTAAAAATCTCCCAATGTGAGATATGGAAATTAATTTGAACACTGTTTTGACCCTAAATTGAGGTTTGATGTTGATTAAGGCTTCCGTTGATATTATGATATTCTTGTTTGTATTATTTATCATTTTTTTTGAGAGGGTGTTTTATCATTCATACTAGTCCTATTCCATATGCACTAACGCCCCTTTTGTAGGGGGAGCTGCATCTTCAATGGATGCAGGTGATTCCACAACAGGATACATTGATTAGTGATAGCGGTACATCCCCTTCCCATCTGACTTGGTGAGCCCCACTTTATTTCAGGGTCATGTATCTTTTGTTCTTCATGTATTATGTTTGAGGTATAGCCGGAGCCTTGTTGCCGGCATTATGATAGTACTCTTTTGTATCTATTAGAGGCTCTGTAGATATGATATGGGTTGTGTATTGGTGTTGGAAAAGTCAAACTATGTTATGGTTGTATTACTTGTCCATTTGAGACTTTAAAAATGATGAAACTTATGGTAAGAAGTTGGTATTGCAGACAAGATCATCTTTTTATCTAATTAATGAAAATATGTATTATATTTATTCATGAGTGAGTCGGGTAGAAGGAAATTCAACACGCTTGCTCGGCCGGGTTCACTCGGTTGAGGGTCAATCGCGCCCCCGAGTTTGGGGAGCGACAACTAGAATCCATATTACCCATAATACGGATGATACAATGACATTCCTCAAGAAAACCCTGAGAAGCCAAACAACTGAAAAGTGGGAGGGTGGTACTTCTTGTACCTCTCGAGCCTCAGCTGCTCTCCCTCAGAAGTTGCTGCCCTAACCTCGGGCCGAACTGGGATAACTGGCTGCACTGGTATAACCTCTAGGGCATGGTAAACCTGGGGCCGTGGATTTGGGGTACGAGCGATGGGAGTCTGTGCTCCTCCACCGGCCTGAGATGTGGCAGGAGCAAGTGGAATCAACCCTCTCTGAGCTAGAGTGCCAAACATGCTCAAAAACTAGGCAAAAATCTCCTGAAGTGCAGGGGTAGTAACATGCGTCTCAGGTGCCTGCTCTCCAACTGGAGCTACTGGTGGCTCCTCTATAGCAGCTCGTGCAGGTGCTCTGGCTGCACCATGTGGTCTTCCTCGGCCTCTGCCCCGGCGTCGTGCGACTCCAACAAGGGATGTGATTGTCTGATCATCAGATCCAATTGTGCGTGTCCTCACCATATGTGAGAGAATAGAAAGACAAAGGTTTAGAATTTCGAAGTCAACAAATGCGTACGATATGGAATAAAAGAAGTGAACATTTCCTAATAGTTCCATAGCCTCCCGAAGATTAGTACAGACATCTCCGTACCGATCCGCAAGACTCTACCAAACCTGCATGTGACTCATAACACCTATGAACCTAGAGCTCTGATATCAACTTGTTAAGACCCCAATTTCTCTCCGTAGAATGTCGTGATGGAACCTAGTCTCTAAGACTAGGTAAGCCTATTAATTATGCGGAAGAAAACTGAAACTCAAATCTCAACATATAAAATAAATCAAACCGCGATTCAAATAGTTACAACTCCCAAAACCTGGTAGATATAAGTTACAAGATTCTAATAGATATACTAAGTGTCTCTAAATATCAGAATCTAATGAAAATAAGGAAAACAACATAATAAAGATATATGGGTACTCCGAGGTCTGCGGACGCTGGTAGATGTACCTTAAAATCTCTGCGTACTGACTAGCTCACTGATACCTGGTCTGGTAGGAAGTACCTGGATCTGCACAAAATGATGTGCAGAAGCGCAGTATGAGTACACCACAATGGTACCCAGTAAGTGTCAAGCCTAACCTCGGTAGAGTAGTGACGAGGTCAGGTCAGACCCTACTGGAAGTAATAAAAGACAGGGTGAAAGTTTTAATCAACATAATAATAATAATGACAATGGGAATAATTCAAGTAAGTAGTACGTCACAATTCAACTATACAGAATAAGGGCAAATAATACCTCACGGAAGGAAAACAGGAATTTATAAATTTAAAGAAAAACACAAGTAACCAAAAGCAAGTGTATCCATAGAGAAATATCAACAAGGGCACTCCCGAGGTACCGCCTCGTAGTCCCAAATCATAAATAAATTCACAATATTTCATTTCCTTATATCACTACGGAGCCTTCACATTTAATTTTAAAGAAAATATTTTTTCCGAAATAGCATCCCGCATTTTAGCCACCCTTATCACACACACCGCATGACTTCTAGTAGTTCCCCTACTAACCACACGTATCAATCTACCCTTATCTCACCGCATGCGTTTCAACACCCAGACCTTATACCACCACATGTGTATCAATATCACAATATATCACAATTTGTACCTCAAGTGCCCAAATATTTCAACTTGCCAAAATAAATCAACAACAACATTATTTTCACAATAAGGAGCTCACGGCTCAATCACAATAAATACAAAATCTCACAAAATATTCGGAAGTGAATAACTCAACAAAAATAATATTTACAAATTTAATACCTTGCCTCAATACCAAATTTTTAATGTCAAATACTTCATATTAATAATAATTCAATTAAGAAATTCAACTTTCAAATTATGAGCACAGAATAAAAGAAACAAAGTTTCAACTAAATATGTAAAGCAATTTGCAGGAAAAATGTCACGCAAATTTAAAATATAAAAGAAATAGATCAATGATGATAAATATAACCGGATAAAAGAATTTAATTAATCTGTAATAGAGATCTACACCATTTAAAACTAGAGTTTTCTATATTTAGCCCGTGTACACACTCGTCACCTCGCGTACATGACTTTCAACACATCACAATTATCATATGAACACCAAACCTAAGGGGAATTTCCCCCACACAAGGTTAGACAAGTCACTTACCTCGAACTGGGTAATTCTTTACTCCGCTATGCCTTTGCCTCGCGAATTAGCCTCTGAAAGCCTTGTATCTAGTCACAATTAATTCGGTTTAATCAATACAAATTATTGGAATTTATTCCATATGAAAATACTATTTTTCCAACAAAAATCCGAAATTTAACTAAAACATCGCATGTGGGACCCACGTCCCGAAAACCGACAAAAAGTTATAAAATATGAAGCACATTCAACCACGAGTTCAACCATACAGTTTTTACCAAATTCCGACTTCAACTCGACTCCCAAATCTCACATTCTTATTTTGAAATCCCTAGGCCCAAATCCTCTAATTTTACCTCAAAAATATGTAATCCAATCGAAATACTCAATGACAATCTAATATTATTGACTAATAATGATCACAAGTGACGTACCTTAAGTTTTCCCGTGAATTCTTTCTGAAAAAATTGCTCAAAGCCGTGTTGGAAATGCCCAAAAATGGCAGAAGATCGGAACCCCTCTGATTTTGTACACTGCCAGAGGTTCTGCTTCTGCGGAAACTGCTTCATGGAGTACCGGTATCTATAATCTCTGACCGGGTTATGCTATTTAAATCAAGGTTCTGGAGAGCTGTATAGAAGGAGTTGGATACTCGGGTTGACTTGAGCATAGCATTTCACCCTCACACGGATGGACAGTCCGAGCGCACTATTCAGATACTGGAGGATATGCTTCATGCTTGTGTGATTGATTTTGGGGGTGCTTGGGGACCATTTCTTGCCACTTGCAGAGTTTACTTACAATAACAGTTATCAGTCGAGCATTCAAAGTTTGCTTATGTGATATACCGGCACCGTCTCCCGTATGAGGCCTTATATGGGAGGAGGTGCCGGTATCCAGTGGGTTGGTTCGAGCCAGGTGAGGCTATATTATTGGGTACAGACTTGGTTCAGGATTTTTTGGAGAAGGTTAAGGTGGTCTAGCAGATGCGAGGTCCCGCCCGCTTCTGCAGTTTCGTTCGCTTCTGTGGACAAGAGGTCCGCTTCTGCGGTATCCAGTTGCACCCCTTCACTCCGCATCTGCAGAGCATGGCTTGCACCTGCGGGCTCGCATATGCTGATATCTTCACGCACCTGCGACCTAGCCCCAGGACAAGCCCCTTTCCGCTTCTGCGCCTTGCCAGCCGTACCTGCGGCAGTGCACCTGAAGGCAGAAAACTCTAGCGTTGTCCTAAGTCCAAATTTGATCCGTTAACCATACGAAACTCACCCGAGGCCCCCGGGACCTCAACCAAATACACCAACCAGTCTTAAAACATCATACGAACTTAGTCGAAACTTCAAATTACATCAAACAATGCTAAAACCATGAATCATACTCAAATTCAAGCTTAATGAAACTAAGAAATTCCAACTTCTATATTCGATGCCGAAACCTATCAAATCAAGTCCGATTGACCTAAAATTTTGCACACAAGTCATAAATGACATAACAGACCTATTCAAATTTCCAGAATCATATTCTGACCCCGATATGAAAAAGTCAACTCTCTGGTTAAACTTCCAAACTTCAATTTTTATTTTAGCCATTTCAAGCCTAATTTAACTACGGACTTCCAAAAAATTTTCCGGACATGCTCCAAAGTCTAAAATCACCATACAAAGCTATTGAAATCATCAAAATTATATTTCAGGGTCGTTTACATATAAGTCAATATTCGATCAACCTTTTCAACTTAAGTCTTTAATTTAGGAACTATGTGTCCCATTTCACTCCGAATCCAAAAAACAAACACCCCGGCAAGTTACAACACTACGATATAGCATTGAGGAAATAAAAATTTAGGGGATCAGAGTTAAAATATTCGTAACGACCGGCCAGGTCGTTACATAAATTGACCTTCGAAAAGCATACGACTCTGTGGAATGAAAATTTGTGAAGGAAATGCTACATGCTTTGAATTTCCCTGAAAGGTTCATCAAATGGATCATGGCCTGCATATCGACTCCCCAATATACAATAGCAATAAATGGAGGATTATATGGGAAGATAATAGGGAAGAAGGGACTTTGACAAGGGGATCTTGTTTCACCACTACTGTTTGTTATATGTATGGAATATCTTACAAGAATATTGAAGATGGTTAACAACAAGAAGGATTTGAATTTCACACAAAATGTCGGAGCATCAAGTTGAATCATCTCTGTTTTGCAGGTGTTGTTCTTTTGTTCTGCAAAGGTGACTTCCACGCAGTCATGTTAATGCTAAGAGGACTAAAGACTTTTTCAGAGGCATCAGGACTAACTACTAATGTAGGAAAATCAAACATCTTCAGTGCGAACATGAATATGCAACACTTGAAAGACTTGTGTGAGATTACTGGTTACCAGAAAGGAAAGCTCTCATTCAGGTACCTTGGAGTACTTATTACATCAAGAAAGATATCAGTTGTAGATTGTGAAATGTTGGTGGACAAATTGACTGTTAAAGTTAGAGGGTGGGGATCGAGAACACTATCCTATGCTGGTAGAGTGCAGCTGATAAATTCAGTACTGCTACACACTCATGTGTACTGGGCATCTATTTTTATACTACCTCGAGCAGTTCTTAATAGGATAACTTCTATATGTAGGAACTATCTTTGGGATGGGAAGGTGGACACTAATAGAGTACCACTGATAGCCTGGGATTTTATATGTAGATCGAAAAAGGAAGGAGGTCTAGGAGTTACAGATTGTGTGAGTTGGAGTGATGCTGCTATAGGAAAGTGCATATGGAATATTGCCCAAAAAACATATAACCTACGGGTAAAGTGGGTTAATCATCTATATATAAAAGAAGAATCTGCGTGGGACTATGAAGCACCTCAGGACAACAACTGATATTGGAAGAAGATATGCCATATTAGAGATAAAATGACAACTGGGTATGTAAATAACTACTGGCTCTCTCAAGGTGGAAAATACACGATCAGAAGTGGATATGAATGGCTAAGGGGAAGTTAGGAACCATGGCAACATCAAGCTTGGGTATGGAACAAATTAAATATACCCAATCATAGTTTTATATGCTGGCTAACTATGCATTGAAGACTGCAAACAAAGGACATGCCTGCACGAATAGGAATAAGTCAAGACAGCCTGTGTGTGATATGTGGTAAAGCAACAGAAACTATATCCCACTTATTTTTTGAATGTCAGTTCTCCAAAGCATGCATTATAGAGATACTCCAATGGCTGAGGATAAGATTGCAAAACATGGAACTTGAAGGTCTTTGGAAAATAGTTGCTAGAAGTGTAAAAGGGCGACTAAGGAAACACTTTGTACTTGCTATCATGGCTGCTATGATATATGATATATGGAAGGGGAGGAACGAAGCACTGTGGCAAAGCAAAGTCCCAAGACCACAAAGCCTATGCAACCAAGTGAAGGATGAATGCATACATTAGATGAGAGAATGTCTGAATCGAAGGAAAAAGGATGACGAAAGGATATGGCTGAGGAATTTATATAATTAGAGAAATGGTAGGCAAATGTAAATAAGAGTTTTTTTTTCCTGTTTTTTGGACTTGGCTGATGTATACGTTTTTGTCTGGTGATGAATAAAAATTTTCTTTCACCAAAAAGTTAGAGAGCAATGGACTATAATTACTGAGTGGATAATTTGTTGGCCCCTTTTTATCAAAGAATTAACCCAAATAGCCGCCCACCCAATTACTTAAATTAAAAATAGCCGGTTGAGGTATAATATATGTTTGATTTATGTATTAATGTGTATAATTATATATAATCAATGTATAATCTATGTATATGGCTAGAAAAATAAACAATGAATATGGACGGCTATTTATATAAAGATCCATTTTATCATACGACATATGAAACACTAAAAGTTGGACCACATTTACGCAAACATAAGAATTTAAAAATAAAATATTTAAACTAAATAGTTGTCCACCTCATCTATATTATTATAAAAGCATGAATACAATATCGGTTTACAAAAATGACCTCATAATATTAAGCATAATAACTCATAATAAAAGGACATAACCGGAATTCTAGATATTAGTCTTATAATCCTATTAGTTTAGGACATAATACTACACGTTAGGAATCCTACATGATTACCTATAGGAATCCTATTAGTATAGTTATTTTCGGGATGTCTAATTTATATAAAATTAAATAAGTAAATATCTTTAGTCATGTAATCCTATTACTTTTAGGATATACTTCTTAAAACTTCCTATTACTAATTTAATTTAAAAACGTATTATAATGTCCTATTACTAATTTAATTTGAGAATGCATTATATTGTCCAAATTCATTTAGAAAAAGTAGAGCCTATATTATTATAAAAGCATAAATACAATACTAATATACCAAAATAGCCCTAAATTATTAAGCGAAAGAACTCATTGGGAAAGGACATAACTATAATAACCTATTTTTGGACTACCTTCTATGCTAATTTTTAATATTTAAAAATTTGTCTATTAAATTATTATGAAAAAATATGTAGGAAAGTTTAAGAAAATTAATTTTATAAGAATTCTCCGTATTGACAGTACATTACCACTCTATAATGTCCAATACCAATTGTCACGATGCGAAATTCCCACATTCGGACCGTGATGGCGCCTAATATTTCACTTGCTAGGCAAGCCAACGTTAGAATGATATTAACCAATTTTTAAACAATCTTTAGATATATTAATAACAAAGAAATAAATGCGGAAGTAAGGTTTGAAATATAGTGATTAATCCATAAAAATAACGGTATCTAAATCCATCCCAGAATTGGTATCACAAGTGCACGAGCTTCTAGAATAAATACAAATAAAGGTCTGAATAAAATAAATCTGTCTGGAAATAAACACACAGCCAAAGTAAAATAGATGGGGACTTCAGAACTGCGGACGCCATGCAGTTATACCTCAAGTCTCCTTTGGTAGCTGAAGTCCGAGCAAGTCTATGGTACGCCGCTGGGACCAACTCCAAAGTCTGCACAAGAAGTGCAGAGTGTAGTATCAGTACAACCGACCCCATGTACTGATAAGTGTTGAGCCTAACCTCGACGAAGTAGTGACGAGGCTAAGACGGGTCACTTACATTACCTGTACGTAATATTAGTAACAACAACAATAGTATAAATAAATCAGGTAACTCGTTTATAATAATTGAAGCCAACTCATCAGTCATAACCAATTATCATTTCTATCAATTCTGTTGCAGCGTGCAACCCGCTCTCACAATATATTCACATTCAGTTCTGTTTCAGTGTGCAACCCGCTTTCACTGTATATTCACATTCATTTATGTTGTAGCGTATAACCCGCTCTCACAATATATTCACATTCAGTTCTGTTTCAGTGTGCAACCCGCTTTCACTGTATATTCACATTCATTTATGTTGTAGCGTATAACCCGCTCTCACAATATATTTATTTTAATCAAGTCTGTTGCGGCATGCAACCCGATCCCCCAATATATATATGTATGTCGACTTTTAAATAAGTCTGTTGCGACGTGAAACCCGATCCTCCAATATGGACTTTTAATAAGTTTGTTGCGGCGTGCAACCCGATCCTCCAATATGGACTTTTAATAAGTCTGTTACGGCGTGCAACCCGATCCTCCAATATGGACTTTTAATACGTCTGTTGCGGCGTGCAACCCGATCCCCCAATATGGACTTTTAATAAGTCTGTTGCGACGTGCAACTTGATCCCCCAATATGGACTTTTAATAAGTCTGCTGCAGCATGCAACCCGATCCTCCAATATATTCATTTCAATCAATTCTGTTGCGGCGTGCAACCCGCTCCTCCAGTATATTCATTTACCAATTCTTATAGAAGGAATTTTCCCAATAAATGCAACAATTAATATGAAATTATAAGACAACAAGCATACAATAATTATGATTTAATCATGAAACAAACAATGTCAAATAGCAAATTATTATAGAAATCAGAGCGAAAATAGGCAGTTTAATATTTAATATGCTAAATGTCAAATAACAATTAAGACACATAATTCAAGTAGCATGTAACAATTAATGCAGGAATTCAAGAATTAATATTTGGCAAAGAATAGGAGAGAAATAATTATAATAATAATTAATTCATGATTTAAAATAATTTATGATTTTTTAAATAATTATACAAACAATTAATTTGACGACGTATAGACACTCGTCACCTCGCCTATACGTCGTTCACATGCATTTCATATAACAAATAATTTAAGGGTTCTATTCCCTCAAGTCAAGGTTAACCACGGCACTTACCTCAATTTCGCAGGCCACTCACTGCTCAAGTACCGCTTTCCCTTTAGAATTCACCTCCAACCCACTCGTATCTAATCATAATTAGTTTAATATCATCAATTATCGCTAAAGGAATCAACTTTAATGCATAATTACAGTTTTCCTAAGTTTTTCCAATAAAAGTCAAAAACCGACCTCGGGCTCGCTTGGTCCAAACTCGAGGTTCGAACCAAAATCCGTTTACCCATTCACCCCCGAGCCCGAATATGTAATTAGTTTTGGAATCCGACCTCAAATTGAGGTCTAAATTCCCAAATTTCAGAAATCCCTAGTTTCTACCAAAAACCCCTAATTCTACCATGAGAACCTTAGATTTTAGGTTGAAATCTTGTAAAATATAATGAAAGATTGAAAGAAACCAGTTTAGAATCACTTACCTATGATATGGGGGAAGAAATGGTCTTTGGAAAATTGCCTCTTGTGTTTTAGGTCTTGAAAATTTGGGAAATAAATGAAAATTCCCGTCCAAAAGTCATTTTGATCAGCTGCAGATGTCGCATTTGCGACCTGAGCTTCGCAAATGCGAAGCCCTTCAAACTTCTGCTGCCTTCGCAAATGCGAAGATAAGTTCGCAAATGTGAAGCTCGCAAATGCGAAGCCCTTCACACTTCTGCTGCCTTCGCAAATGCGAAGATAAGTTCGCAAATGCGACCTTGAATCTTCTTAATGCGACTAAATGATCGCATTTATGATCACTGCCCTTCCCCGACTCCCTTCGCAAATGCGAAAACTATTGGCCCAACTTCTCTTCGCATTTGCGATGAGAAGCTCACAAATGCGAACCTCTCAGAGGTCGCAATTGCGATGCCTGATCTTGCAAATGGGAGATCAGAGGCCTGCAATAATATCAGATGCACCAGCAGTGTTTTTCAAGCCAAATCTCACTCCGTAGCCTATCCGAAACTCACCTGAGCTCACGGGGCTCCAAACCGAACATGCCCACAAGTCTAAAAATATCTTACGGACTTGCTCGCGCGATCAAATCGCCAAAATAACACCTAGAACTATGAATTTAGCACCAACTCAAATAAAATTCTCAAGAACACTTTAAAATTCATATCTTCTCAACTAGACGTCCGAATCACGTCAAATCAACTCCGTTTCTCACCAAATTTCACAGACAAGTCTTAAATATCATAATGAACCTGTACCGGGATCCGAAACCAGAATACGGACCCGACACTAACAATGCCAAACATCAATCAATTCTAAAAAATAATTAATTTTCAGACTTTAATTTTTATAAAAAAATCATAACTTGAGCTAGGGACCTCCGAATTCAATTTCGGGCATACACCCAGGTCCCATAATTCGATACGGACCCTCTAAAACTGTCAAAATATAGAACCGGGCCCGTTTACCAAAATTGTTGACCGAAGTCAACTAAAATTAACTTTTAAGGTATAAATTCTTATTTTCAACATAAAAGCTTTTCGGAAACCTGCCCGGACTGTGCACGCAAATCGAGAAGGGTAAAAATAAGATTTTTAAGGCTTAAGAGCGCATATTCGAGTTCTAAAACATAAGATGACTTTTTGGGTCATCACA